CTGTTTCTGGTTGTTGTCATTAGTCCTCTTTATTAAGTCCGCGTTTCAGTTTGTTTCCCCAGTCCGGTCATTGGGTGCGTTCGACTTGCTTACAGCGCTGGCTTAAAGCAACACATTCTGATCCTGACTCAATGCATTTTGGTTAGATGCATTACGACCCCTCACCCGGCTGCACAAACTGGAACCGCCTCCGTGACGACACACCTTTGCCCTTATTGGCTGAAGAGTTTATTTACACGCATGATGCTTGTATCCCAGGCAGTTCCGATGCGTAATCTGCTATTTCTACCGAATATCACGTAAAGCAGTGAGAACTGGTTTTCAGTTAATTTACCTGGTAAAATAAAGTTTAAATTAATGACATAATAGTACACGTAAGTTAGTGGTTTATTTATTGTTATTTACTGTAATGTTGCGCTGCTTTATTTGGCTAATCGTCCAGTCTGTGAAGAAGGCATTCAAGTAAGAATTGCATTGTAGTATGACACATTTCCTGGCGCGTACAATTTATATTAGGTCGGCGTTCACGGTTCGACTTCTGATATTCAGATCGAGTTCTAAGTCAAACTGGTTTGTTCGACTTTCAAGAAATTTGAGTTCTAGTGAGTTCGAGAACCGAGGTACCACTGTACATATATTTAGACAGTAAAAATACATTTAGACAATGATAGACAGTAACAGTAATTATTATAAATATAAATACATTTAAAAATAAAGTTTCTTATTCATTATTTTAATATTAATAATAAACCATTAATACGTTTAATTATAATAATATTGTTGTGCCGAGCGGGGACGGAACGGAGACAAAGGCGCAGACGTCAGGGTATCGGGGAATACGGGGTTTAATTACAGGTAAGGCAGGCAAAACGCAGATGGACAATACAATGACCGGACTGGGGAAACAAACTGAAACAGGGATGAGATAAAGAGAGCTAATGAAAACAACTAGAAACAGCTGATCACACTGGGATTCCACACGGGGTTAACGAGGGGGCATGGCACACGGAAGGAGCAGACAATCGAGGCAGGACACATTGTTTGGATACCTTCATTTTCTTACTTTACAAATTACTATTTTGATAAATGTGCTTAGATGTGTTTAGTACACTATATGCTCTTCTTGTATTATCCGGTTCATTTTGTGTTTAAATGCTAAAAAAAACATATTTAGGTGTAATTTTTTGGGGCCGGGAACCAATTAATTGGTTTTCCATTATTTCTTATGGGAAAAATTTGATCACGACTCGAACTTTTTAGGATTCGATCCGGAGTTCTGAACGGATTAAATTCGAGTTCTGAGGTACCACTGTATTTAGAACAGAAATGTCCAAAATTCAGAATAAAATTACATTAAAGATAACAACCCAGATGACTTATTCATAATTAATAATAACTATAATAATAACAATGGCTCTAAAACACCCTTGATTAAAATCTCCTTTATAAATCATTCCATAACTGGAAAAAGCCTTCACTGTTTTCAGCTAAAAAGCGAAGATACAATAATTTCTACTACTTACCCAATACTAAGAAATGACAGACCTGCAATCGATAAAATCTGAATGTTAGGAGTGTGGTGGCAAAACACAGAACGTGAAAGAACTGCAGTCCGATCAACCAGGACTCCGACCAGTCTACCTGGAAAGAAAGAAAAACTTTTAATTACCCATTAACTCTTTATCTAATTAAAATATCAAGAATAAATTATCCAAATGTACTAGTATACATTTAAGGCGCAAGGATTCATACAGTACAATATTATAGCTAATGAGCATAGTGTAACGACACAAGTACAGTTTTGCTGGCTGGAGTGAGACAAGTCTGCACATTTACATATATGTAACAGTTTTATTACCTTGTAAATAGTCTGTAAATTGCAAAGTACTCCAACGCTTTTAGTGTAGGTAATTTTAGGTTTATAATGGAATAATACAGATTTGCTGTAAGATTTCTTGCGAGAGCGTTAGAACAGGTGTTATGCCGAAAAAGGCATCCCTGCCGTAGAATGCATGCCTGTCTCTAAATGACCGATTGGTCGCTGATCTGAAACGAGTTGAGCTACTTTGTCGAGTTAGGCTACCGTAGTGCTAATCGATAGCCCTAACCCTTATCCTAATCCCCAAAACACCCCTAAAACCCTAACCCCCAAAACACCCCTAAAACCCTAACCCCCCAAAAAACCCTAAAAGCTCAACTCGTCAGAACACCTGCATGCATTCTACGGCAGGGATGCCTTTTTCGGCATAACATCTGTTAAACAGCAAAGTGTCACGCCAGACGCGTGTATGTATGTATGTATGTATACATGTATATATATGTGTGTGTGTGTGTGTGCGCGTGTATATATATATATATATTCCATTACACATACTTCAATGCTAACTATTAATATTAGCTGCTAGCTCATGCGTACTTACAGAAAGCAGGAATGTCCACAGTGAAGTTATTCTCATATTACTAATGCTATCGATTGGGATTGAACTGATATTTTGTTTAGCCATCTCAGAAATACGTACAATCGAACGCTGAACAGAGTTTAAAGGTTATTATTCAAAAGACCATTAACATATATAGCTAAATGGCCACAAACGAAGACACCCCCAAAACAACGCAAGACACGCAACCCTAGTCGCATCAGAAATACGTCACGTAGAATACGTCATGCATGGTGCATTGAAAGGGGCAGCCGAAAGTGACGAAGGAATGCTTATCCCACGTTTGTTGGTTAAAATCGTCTCTTTCCCTATTCCCATTTTTGTAATTTCAGCCGGAATTTCATACAGAAATATAATTGCAAGACACTATCAGTTCATCAGTATCTGCTCGCCTTTTGGGTAATCAAAAGTATGTCGTATGAAAACTACAAAACTTGTGAAATATTTCTAATATTTGTTAAAAGTGTTTCTAGTTTCCAATAAGTAACCAATAACAAGTGCAAGATAGAAGAAGGCCTGTACAAAATACTGTAGAACCTAAGCTCTGACAAGATATTTTAAAAATAGCCCCAAGAGAGTCCAGTACGAACTCAGTCTTCGTGGAAAATAAGAGTATCCAATAGTGCCAAGTGAAACCATTTCAATATACCAGTCACCAAGGATAGAGAACTGGGGAGAGACAGTGTTAGGATGAGGTTGAAGTCATATAAACTTGGAAAGACTCAGGGTGTTGAAGGAACGACAAGTAGACATTAATGAAGTTCTTTTGTATCTTTTTGGGGAAAATAATCACAAAATCGCCTCTGAGCCATTGCGAGTTAATTAACATAACACTGTTTTTCTTTGACAAAAACTACAGTCACGCTGTCCTGCGGTATTCTGACATTGCATTACCATCAATGACCGGAGAGGGTGCTGAACACTCTCAACACCCCTACTCCCAGCTCTAATATTTCAAGTGTTCCTGAAAGAGATGGGGCTTTATACTTTTATTAAAGGTTGTAAGGGAACCACAAACGGCACTGTAATATCACACTTTGTTGTACTTTATAACACGTTTATTGTACAATATTCTGTTTATCGGGATATTCTTTTAGTGAATTTGTTTGCACCCCATTTGCTTGTTTGCACTATTTGTGTGCTGCCTTTGCACTTTATCTGTTTGGCACTATATGTATGTTTGGCTGTGCATTACGTTCTGACTTTATGCACCAGAATTTCGCCTTGGTATAATCTTAATGTTAATCTTATCTTAACTTCATAATAAATGTAATAATGCTGGTTTTGTGATATAACATGGATGAGCACACCTGATGTAGGGTAGCACATATGATGTAGGGTAGGCCACAGTGTTCATGGCCATGATTGGCTTGCATTCTTCTCATTTACAATTAATTAAAAATATATTTAAAAAATCTGTGATCGGTTAGCATTTGTCTAGCCTTTGTTTGAGGCTTGTGATTGTGTGGGATAGATCCACCTTTGCATCTCTGAAGTGCTTTATTGTCACATTTAAGAAAACATAGAAAAATAGCACATAAACTGGAGCAGAGTGGAAGTTCAGTTGTGAGAGTTCAACGAAATATGCATGTAATCTGAGTTACAGAAAGAAAGATGAGACATTGCTTATCAGACAATAAGCAATGTTTGGAAAAATGACTGCCAGTCAAGATCGCCCTGATTACACTCAAAACAGGTGCCAGAATTGGGATTTACCATCATTTTCAAAACACTTAAACATATTAAACAAAATAAATGTATGACAGTGTGTATATTTACTAAGTGCTTAGAAATTCAATATCATTAGCCTAATATGTTTCCCACTAAAGTATGGCGTCACACCAGGGTTGCCAACTTTGGTGAGATTTTCAGTTCAAAACAAGTCTGCACACACATCACATGCATTTACATGTATGTGTACAGTTTTTTTTTTTTTTACCTTGTAAATAGTCTGTAGGGTTTTCAAACCACCCCAAGCCCTTTACTATGGCTTATTTTAGGTTTATATCAGAATAATATATATTTGCCGTAAGATTTCTTGCCCGAGCATGACACTCTAATAGCGTGAGTGTCACGCCAGATGCGTGAGACTTGGCAACCCTGGCGTTACACCTATGTCAAAACTAGAGAGCGATAATACACAAAGTGAAAAATATAAATCTACAAGTCTTAAACTTTCATGTGTATAAATATCCCACTCACGAGTGCAAATTTGAAACTTTCGAATTCAGACAAACTCAGACAATTATTCATCATCAGAAATGGCCATAGGTCCGGCCCCAGTGTCAAAACCACCCCAAATTTGACCCAAAAAATTTCACTCAAGCACAGACAGCAGGTGATGGTAATCCACTTAGCGTGCAAGAATATCTGTCAAATCAAGAAGCAATTAAACATTCGTGAAGCAAATAAAGACAGTTTGAGCATGATATTGTGCTTGTAAGTTTCATACTTGTACAAAATGTTATTGTTGCTTTGTGTTTTATCGCCCTCAAGTTTTGCCATGGATGTGACGCCATACTAAAGCTGCATGTCGTAAAAGACTGGTCTGGATGTACAAAGTTTCAGTTTACTTCAGTTTTCTTTAATCACAGTATCCTAGCAACATGTACATCATACATCATATACTAAAAATCAAGAACATGCTGTGCATTTTTCCTCAGAATGTTCATTCTACTAATGTCAGTGTGTACAATATCAATGACTAAAATGGAATTTGGTGCATTTATGTGCATTTCTACACCTAAGTTAAGAAACACTGTACTAAAAGAATTACTGGACAGTTCACTAAAAAACATCTTTTTCTACAAATAGCATCTGAGACTCAGTCACACATTGCATTACAAAACCATTTTAAACAATCTCTTAATTTTGTGATTGGGGTGAACAGTGAAACAAGACAACCAAGAAGATTTGGCTACATTGTAATGGGTCAAATCTGTGAAACTTCAATACAATCATTGATTTTACATCAGGGACAGAAGTGCAATCGCAAGACAATGAGACCTAGGTCCTCTGACTGACTGAATATTATGATGTATATCACTCCGAAATGCTAACCCTAGAAAACAATTTGAAACTTCCCAAAAGGCTTCATACGCGAACATGACTGACGCTTCATCAGAGGTTTCCAAACCATTAAGCATGAAACACAGGTAGCTTGTGAACATTATTTAAGTTTTCTAAAGTTTCACATTTTAAAAAGCAATTCAAAGAACAATGAAAACTCAAGTCAAAATTAAGCAAAATTAAGTAAACTACTGAATCAGTCAGATAAATCAGATGCTTTTAAAAAAGGCAAATCCATTTTGTATGCTTATCTTGGAGAGAGTGATGGAAAAAAGGATAAGTGTGATATTTAAAAAATGATTCAAGGAGCTTAATGCAATGACCCTATGAAGGATGGATAAGGGAGTGTCCTGTATTTTTTAACAACAGTATGATTTCCAAACAATAATACAGAGCAAACCTAAAAGTATTCAGTTATAGGCACCAAAATCTAAGACCATCGTCACGGCAATGTGCCAATGACCCCAAAATGCAATACATCACAGTCATTGCTAACTGGTGCTCCGAGGGTCATCAGTTGGAGGGTCCTGTTCCAGTAGTGCCTAGGATCGTGGGTGCTCAATCCCATCACGCTTTGGACTTTGTTCCCTGGAAGCCAGAGGCTAAGTTGACTGCAGCTGAGATGGGTGTAGAGTAGCCTGCTGTTAAGGTCTGCAGCCCAACCACCAGACATTTCCAGCTGAATCGCAGAGCCTTGCCCAGGTTCTGGCAGACAGAAGCAAACAATCATATAAAGGTGAATGCAAGGGAAATTACACATTTTACCCAAAGTAAATACAGGACAAATTATTGTATAAATACAGGACAGAAAAAAACTGACAGAAAATGTGATTTTTCTTGCTGAAACAGCAGCCTACATACAATGCGCATATCACTGCGCGCATGCCAACTTGCGTGCTCACGAACAGTGAAGTGCTTTTAGTAACGCCCCAGTGTACACGTGCCGCCGCGCTGCCCGAGTCCATGACATACACACTGTACATCGTGTATGATCAAAGGTTAGGCTTTATAAATGTACCCTATACTGTGCTCAGGAGGCATTCTCATCCTGATACAATTTAGATTAAAGTTGCAGGATAAAAACAAAAATAGTCAAAAAAATATTTTATTATAAACGGACTTCTAATATATACAAATATACGTCAAACAGATATAATTTTGAAAGGTTTGACTCTACGGTATATACGCCCAACTGATAGGCCTACTTATAGTGAGTTTGATTACGTAGCTTGTGTCGCTTTAACATTTTCTCATGTGTGGTTCTTCTAATGATTTATTTACTTATGAACATTCCATGCTACGTTAATTATTACCCTTGACTCGGGGGTCTTAGAGTTTTTTTCCATCCCGTTATTTCATTATACTACACTGAATGTCTCCTAATGTAATGTAATAACTACTTAAATTGCAGTCTAATGTATTCAACAAAACAAACATGATGTCGTTCGCAGTACACATTAAATATTTGTAAATAATCGGACACATTTAAATGCATGGGACTCGAAACGACGTCCTTCACTTAACATAATATTCCATAAATAGTCTCCCCATGCCCACATACTGTACAGAGTTTTGACTGCCAATTTGATTTAGTCCAGCCTAATAAACCAACCTTTCTATATTTCTTATTCCTTTCTTTCCTCTTACTTTTCTTTTCTTCTTTCCTTCTTTCAACTTCTTCGTCAGCTTCTATCAATGGCTCATATTTCTCCGGCAGGAAAGATAAATGAACAGGCTTAGAGCATTTTTTGCCCACTTTCTCGGTTCGTTGCCTCGCATTTTGATTTATGGGAATTTCGCTGTTCCCTGTACCAGCCGCAAGCTCACGCTTCTCTCCTTCGTTGTCCTGTAGATTGAAATCTACTTTTTCGGTATCCATGGCTATTCCACATGTGTCTTCCAAGCTTTATTCTGAATTATTAGTGTTTTTGATCCGCTTTTTCCATAACATAATATCGTAAAATTGTTTTTGTTACTTGCCGAACTTTTTAAATACCCCACTTACGTCAGACCTTAATTGCGCGCGCGCGCACACACACACACACACACACACACAGACGGCACAGTTTATCCATAGTCTGGACAAGCTGTAAAAGACAATAAACGTTACAAGTACTGTATTGCACTCGATGCTGTTAAAGGCCAAAGTTTGAAGACAATCTGTGCTTCTTTGTTTTAATAATGAATCAGACACTGAGTACAAGATTAAAATGTGAGTAATTGTTTAAAATTTCCCAAATGGAATGGAATTATTTACAAAATACAGATAAATACAGACATTGTTCACCTTATTAATTCAGTTTTAAAACAACAATAAATAAGCGAATAAATGGCTTCATATTTCCTGGCCATGACTAGGAATGGCCCGCAACTACACCATCCATCCATCCATCCAAACTGCTTACTGAATGCAGCTTTCACTTCAGGGGTGTTGCTAGACATAAAACTCTACTGGGACACAGGCCCCCCACCCCCCAATACCCATATAAGTGAGATTTTACCCGGGGTACAGCACATGAATACTGAGGCCCATGTTTCACTTGTTCCATTCCATAGCTGAAACACGTTCGGCTTATGGATCTGGTTGAGCCCTGGAATCCCATTCAGACTCTCCCTGCCTAGGTTCCAAGTCAAACATGCTATACAAAGGCTAAACATACAGGCTACAGATAACATCTCTGCACGTCTAAAGAGTAATGCCTGCAGCTATTGGTGGATTTAATACGGTCAACCAATCATCTTCTGTGTTATTATGTTTCTTAATTAAATAGACCTAGACATAGAAAAAAAATATCAGAGTTAGCAAGATAGGAGGTCATCGCAGCATTAAGTCAAACAAATAACATGAATTAGCTCTTTACGTGTATCTTCTATGAATACAGTTGCAGTTATCCACACTGGATATTTGTCTCCACTACCGGTTGCCATTATTGCCTTTATCCCGCAGTTTTGCAACTGCTCCACAAACAGAAAAAAGTGCACCATGTGACCTGTACACTTACTGTAGCAGCCTTCAAATCTTTCGAATCTGGCATGCGAAGTGATAGGCTGCTTAGGCAATACTGAATGACTGAACGATAACCTTTGGAGTTTATAAAAAAAAAATTCTTGACTTGGTTTTACTAGACGGCCTTTGCTGTCCCGCGAGCAACATGGGATTAATATCCCACACATTTAGACACAACACGGCATTCAAAAGGTGTTAAAATATTTTTATCAATACAAAGAAAGATAATTTCACTGTACAAAAGCTTTTCAGTCAAAACAACAAAGAAAATCCAGGTAAAAAGAAATAGAAATTTCTTGGCAACCGTGCATACAAACACAAGTAATTATATTACCTTAAGTTTTTACAAAACAGAAATTTCTCAATTTCCCATTATTTCTGATTATCCATATTACTGTGGTATAACTAAAGCAGTGGTATTCGATCATTTGACAGGGATGCCCTGGGGCTCATTGTTACGCGGCGAATGGGCACAGAGCGGGGATAGAGGAGTGGGAGTCCAGGGGGTCGGGGAAACGAGTGGTTTATTGAGGAAACAGCAAAGGCCCACGGGGCAAAACAGGTAGCAACGTCAATGACAGGACTAGGGGAAGACGAACAAGGAAGCACTTACTGTAAATACACCAGACTACATTGAACAAGACTAGACATAGCTGGTAACACGGGGATTCCACACGAGGTAGCGAGGGGGGGCGTGGCACATGGGAGGCTCGGACGCAAGGCATGACACTCATTTATTTATCCTTTTAATTAAATTACTTAACAATTCATTTTAAACACAACCTGGCTGTTTCTCCAGTTAAGGAACATGCAAAACAAATGGTAATTGGTAACTACAAAAGTGTAAAAAAATTACATAGAAAGACCACTCAAATAGGCCCTTACCATCCTTTGGCTATATCAAAGTTTCCTTCCGCCCCCAGGTCACTTGCAAATGATTCCAGTGAGGCTTGACCATTCCCAGTGAGAGTTCAGCGAGACACCATCTGACAAATTATATTGCTTTGGGCAATATAATCCCTGTATCGAACAGGGAGTTTTGGAAACTGCAGGTATGTTTCCAGAGGGAAAGACCTCAGTGCAGGATAGTGGCTGTGCTCCTCAGATTGCTGTGTCTACATAACAAATGTCTACAGGAAGATACACACTAAAGACATATGCTTATTTCTCCCTGCTACATGCCAGGAGCAAAAACCAAAATAGAAAAGAAAAAAAGAATTCAATCCAGAAAGTATTTAATCTGCAATACTGTATTTGTAGCTGTACGTAATTTTTTACTTTAATTTCATTCACAATTTCACCCAACCATCCAAGGAAACAATGGAGACTTGGTGTACAAGTGCTCATTCGAAGAAGTCAGTAAGACTTGTGCTGAATAAAATCGAAGGTAAATAAAAGAAATATGTTACATTCAAGTAAACACCTTGAGGCTGTGAGAGTTTTGGTATTACGCTACAGTGAAAATAATACTTGGTTAAAAAATGCAATTGAAGTACAGTATTTTCAACTTTCTGAACAGAGTAAAACACCTGTATCACAAAGCAGGATTTCTTGCTTCCCATATAACTGGTCGTATTTAAGGTGGTCAGGGCTAAAAGTAAGTGAACAGCAGTCCATCTAAACCGGGGTACCTTAAATCTGGCTTTGTGATACAGACCCCAGGAAACATATAAACATTTATACACTGTTAACTTCAACAATGTAACATTGACTGGAAAGAAATGAATTGGCTTTGGAACTGGCAACCAACTGAATGATAGGCTTTTCCTAAATCATAGTAAATGCGAATAAATATAGGAGGAGATAAATAAAATATACAATCGCATTACCGCAAAATTAAAAAATTGTAAACCACTGAAATAGAAATTTTCTTTTTATAAACGTCTCTCTTATATATTAACATAAATTCATTTCCCATTTTTTGGTGGACCCACTGAATAGCCTTTATACCAGTCTTTTATATTTTTTTTTCAGTAGTGCAACAAAGAAAAGGAATATTACGCCCTACTGGCTAAATTTATATGTATTTAAAATAAAGATTTTACATTCATATTCATGACCTATTTCGTACCAAAAATAAAGTCTTTATTTGAATGCGCGGGGACAGCATGGCAGAAGTTTAACCCCAAGTGCAATAAAGAATGCCAGCGACTATTTGTGCATCATTCTTGTGAACTTGTCAATAATGACAAACACATTAAAGAAAGGCAGTGATGTATATAGAGCGGAAGACATCTGCATCATCATACAGGTTGTGCACATTTATAATTATGCAGTATGCAGGAATCGGCATAAAAGATTTTTCTGCAATACTTTAACAGGATAAAGCATTAGATAAACAGGAAGATGCAGGAGGGTACAAATCTGCAGTTCCTGGAGATGGTAACTGCTGTGTAGGCAGATACCTCAGTTCTTATTTGGAGTTACGTGTTTTGATCTTTGACCAGGTCTCTGTTTTCTAACTTCTGTCTAGGGCAGTGTTTCCTAATCTGGTCCTCGTGGACCTACAGTCGGTCCATGTTTTTGCTCCCTCCAAGCTCCCTGCCAGACAGTTCACAAAAACGTGGACTGTCTGTGGGTCCTGAGGACCAGATTGGGAAACAATGGTCTAGGACATCACCGTTTTGAGAACGGTGAGAACTGTTGTACCTTTACATGCTAAGAACCATGTTCGATAGTCATAAAAAAGATTCAGTACCTAGAATCCTTAATATATCTCATTAACGTATTCATGTATTTGTTATTCTGTATAAAAAAAGTCCAAAAAGCTGTAATATAAAAACATAGAACAACAAAATCCAAACCAACCCTGAGATAAAGAGAATAAAACCCTGAATGCCTTCACTCTTTCAGCTTTTTGGACTCTCACTAAAAGTGTTTAATAAGGACCTCCCTTCTGAAGCAAGGCCTTCTCTCCTGCCTACGGGGTCATTCAGTTCCCTTCTGCGGCTGCGTCACAGGACGTGCCACAAGAGGGCAGCCTTTCCCCATCTCCTCCCCCTCCTCCTCCTCTTCCTCCTCCTCCTCTTCCTCCTCCTCCGTGTGGTCGTTCTCCTCCCTGAGCCGCTTTACCAGGCCCATGTGGTCGAAGGGGAGCTGGAGGAGAGCCATGGGCACCTGAGGGATGCGGGGGGTGGTAGGTGCCCCCTCCACGGTCATGTGACCCAGTGGCTTCTGGAGCCTCCAGACCTGCGTCTCGTCTTGCTGCCGGTGAGTCTTCATGTGGGCGTTGCGGCTCTTGATTTTATAAAACACCCTGCAGAATGACATAGGTAGAAAATACAGAGAAATGGGCAATAGAAGCCTGAGCCAAAATGAAATATAAAACCTTAATCGAACACAGCTTCCTCCACTTTGCAGCAATACTATTTTGACGACACAAAATCCAGGTAATCCAACACGGATCATTTATCTGTCAGAAATACTCAAGGCTTTAAATCTACATGATTTTTTGTAAATGCAAGTAGGATTGTCTTGTCAAATTTAATTAAAATATGCTGGGAACACCCCATACTTGCTGCCACAAGCTCCAGACTCAACATAACCCTTTACTGATTAAGTTTTACAGAAGATGAATGGATATGCAGTTCCGCGTAAAAGTCTTAGGCTGTCAAAGGAAATGTTTAAAGCTATTGGTAACGCTTTACTTGAGGGCACACAAAAATATAATAGTACAATCTTACTTAATGCATTAATTAATTGGAAACTAAGTGTCAGTTATGTACTCAGTGGCGTCGTTAGGCCTATTTTAGGGTGGCTGAAGCCTCCCTAAAATATTCTTAAGCCCCCCTAAATAATTTGGTGGTTTTTTTCAAGTTTTTTTTTTTTACTTATTCTATTTTTATTTTATTTTTTTACAAAAATTGCAGACAAATTCAATATGAAGACGCAGGAATATGAGTTTAAATAAATAATAATATAAACCTGTCACTATTCACTTGAATATGATCATAAATAATTCCTTTCACTTTACAGTGTTAAGGTAGCGTCAGTGCTTCGCTATCCAATCCGTTCCAGTTGTTCACAGGGAACGCCCACATTACTGAAAATCCAGTCCACGTTTTCACTGCTACTTTACACTCCGCTGCATCTACACCTGCGGACACACTAGCGTACATGCTGCACACAGCAAGACAACATGCCTATACGCAAGTTTTTCAAGAAAGTAAGTCTTCATCACTGCTGGTAATAACAATTAGTTAGCTCCAGCTAACAGCAGAGTGTCCCATGTAATTAACCCCCTGGGGTCGGGGGTTATCAACAGAAATTTCGCCGAACCGCTTAAATAACTCTGCGAGACACGCTTCAGCATCTGAGTCACAACAGAGCGATTGACCGATTTGCCACTCTTAAAAACAGACGCCATTCTTTGATGCTTCCACCCACCAAGTAACTGGTGATTGCAGCCATAAAAATTATGTACTTTATTTTCAGTTTTTTTCTTGTTGTTAATGCAGCAAACACATTTCCTGTGTTTTCTTGTTGTACTGTATTAAAAAACAGACTGAAATAAAACAACAAATCTATTGGTGGCCTAAGATGTTTAATCTGTCCAAAAAAGTTGAAAAGCAATTTCTCAGTCTTTGTTTTCTGTTTGTGAAATTTTGTGCTCATGCGCTACGTTTGTTCATATCATGTGCATTTCTTGGGGGCTAAGCCCCCCCTGTCCTTAAAACCTAGTGACGCCCCTGTATGTACTGATCCCATTCTAAATCCATAGGCATAAATATAGAGTTGGTTCCCCCTTTGCAGCTGCCTCTCTTCTGGGAAGGCTTTTCACAAGACTTTAAAGTGTGTCTATGGGAATTTTTGCCCATTTATCCAGAATAGCATTTGTGAGGTCAGGCACTGATGTTGGACGTGAAGGCCTGGCTCGCAATCTCCGTTCTAGTTCTAGTATTTGATGGGGTTGAGGTCTGCGCTCTGTGCAGGCCAGTCAAGTTCTTCCACATCAAACTGAACAACACCCAACCATATCATTATGGACCTTGCTTTGTGTATTGGGCACAATCATGCTGAAACAGAAAAAGGCCTTCCTCAAACTGTTCCTACAAGGGTGGAAGCATAGAATTGTTGAAAATGTATTGGTATGCTGAAGCATTAAGAATTCCCTTTACTGGAACTAAGGGGCCCAGCCTAACACTTGAAAAACAACCCCATACCATGATTCCTACTCCTGCATAAAACTTTTTCACTTGGCACAATGCAGTCAGGCATGTAACGTTCTCCTGGCATCTGCCAAACCCAGACTCATCAATCAGACTGCCAGAAAGAGAAGCCTCATTCGTCAATCCGTAGAACATGTTTCCACTGCTCCAGAGTCTAGTGGCGGTGTGCTTTTACGCCACTCCATCCTATGCTTGGTATTGCGCTTGGTGGTGTGAGGCTTGCATGCAGCTGCTCGGCCATGAAAGTCTATTCCATGAAGCTGCCAGTGCACAGTTTTTCTGCTGGGGTTAATGCCAGTGGAAGTTCGGAACTCTGCAGTTATTTATCAACAGAGCGTTGGCGAACTCGGCACTTGGTGACCTCGCTCTGTCAATTTACCTGCCATTTCGCGGCTAAGTTCCTGTTGTTCTTGAATGCTTCCATTTTGCATTAATACCACTTATGGTTGACCGTGGAATATCTAGCAGGGAAGACATTTCATGAACTGACATATTGCAAAAGTGGCATCCTATGACAGCACCACGCTTGAATTCACTGAGCTCTTCTGAACGACCCTTTCTTTCACAAATGTTTGTAAACTTGACCGCATGACTAGGTGCTTGATTTTACATATTTGCTGCAAAGGGTCTGCCTGGGTCCATATAGTGTATATACAGTATTGTGTTCAGACAGATTAATGGTGTGATATCATGCGTTGTAGCAGGACTGACTCTAAAATCTGTTTTACACCAATATGCAGATCATTTAAGCATCATTTTCTTTGACTACTTAAGACATTTGCACAGTATTGAATATATTATTTTAACTGAACCAAGAAGGTATGACCACTACTGTTCATAAAACAATGCTCGAGGGACTTCTTACTTGCCGCACTCTTTGCAAGGGAAGAGAAGCGTGGGGTCAGTCTCCCCACTGGTGGTGCTATGGGCCGGGGAGCTCTTCAGGGAGCTCGATACCGACTGGGCCTGTGCCTTGGCTTTGTTTCTGTCTGAGACAGGCTTGGGGCATGTGCCCGGGTTGCTGTGAATTCGGCCATGTCCGCTCAAGGCTGGCTTAGAGGAGAAGATCTGTTGTGGAAAGATGATAACGTTAACCCAGAGATACTCCACTATATTCTCACTGGATACTAACCCAGAGATACGCTTCTATGCTATCTCACCGAATACTAACCCAGAGATTTTTTTTTTGTCCCTTTTTGTACTCGGCCTTTGTCTACATTACTCGGATGAGTGGGCGAGCTTAATTTCCAGCCCTCTTGATATTTCTACAGCTGAAAATAGAAAAACTTGTCCGAACCATCTGACCGCAGTATAAAGAGAATATGATATCAGTTTTTGCTTCTGAGAAAATCATCTTAAAGGGAACTGATATTTATCTAAATGGGACAGCATTACTTTATATGACCAAGAATCTATATGGCTAGATGGCTAAGAAGTCATTTTTAAATATAAAGAAATTGCCTTTTTACAAGTCACTGTAAATGTTACGAAAAACACACACACGCATGAAACTGCAATAAGCTTTAACTGACAGGAAAGACATTGAGTCACAGGATGTGTGTGTGGGGGTGTTAATATTGTTTCCATTGCTGTGTCGTCTGGTAGTAACAACATCGGCCTCGATGAGGACCCTCACCAAACCACAGCCAGGCACTTCACACATAAAAGTGCTCTTGGACAGGACCACAGTGCCATTGGGGGGGGGGCCTGACAGGTCAGGTGACCTGAGGGCTTTGGGCTCCCGCTCCTGGGGCTTCTTCGCGTCCATCTCCGCCTCGGCCCAGTCATCCTGAAGACAGCGGTGGGTAGACGATGAGGTTATCTTACCATTCCTTAATGAGCCATCCAGTTATTCAACCTATTGAACTAGATAAGTACATCCAGCCTTCCCGTTTCTGCTTGGGGCACGCTTCCCCCTCCGAAAGGACAGATTCATTAACATACTAATAAGTAGTAATGAGGGAAGATGTGGATTGGTCATTACCGAGCTCTCGGGGACCAGGTCAGACAGGCATGTTTTCTGTTTCTTGCCCAAACTTGATATCTTTTTGCAGGTGTAGTAGTACTCGACACACTGTGCCACTGTCTTTGTTTTAACCTACAGAAGAGCAAGCAAAAAAAATAAATAAACATGTCAGAGACGTGTATTATCAAGTTCATAAACTCATACGTTCATACTCTTATGACTGAACTAGCAGAGCACATTTCCATCTGCTTTGGACACATTTTTTATCTGACTCTCACATCAGAGCACTACTGGTCCTGCATATGGACTGAAGATTAAAGGATTTACATTGAAAATATTCATAAACAAGCAGT